GTGCCGCCTGCGGCCCGGCGCGCAGCGCGGGGAGCTCCAGGCGGAGGGCGGCCGGGCCGCCCCGGCGGCGGGCGGGGAGCGCCGCGGCCTGCAGGGCGGGGACGCCGTGGCGCTGCACGCGCTGGGCGCCGCGCAGGCGACGGGGGGTGTCCTCCGCCTCCTCCTCCTCCTCCTCCTCCTCCTCCTCCTCCTCCTCCTCCTCCCTCCTCCTCCTTCCTCCTCCTCCTCCTCCTCTCTCCTCCTCCTCCTCCTTCTTCCTCTCTCCTCCTCCTCCTCTCCTCCCTCCTCCTCCTCCCCTCCTCCTCCCTCCCGCCTCGGTGTCGGATGGGACCATCCATCGTGCCCCTCTCTGGAGAGGGCCGTGGGCGGGTGGGTTGGAGCGGGCGACTCGGCGCGGGCCTGGGCCTGGGCCCGGGCCTGGGCCAGGGGAGCGAACAATGACACGAACCTAAGGACTCGGAGGGCCGCGCGGATGCCTCGGATCCGCGCTGGAGCCCACTGGCGGCGCCTCTGGCGCCGCCCCTGGTGCGCTCCGCCAGGGAGGGGGGTCCAGCGCCGATCTGAGAAATCCGCGCGGACCTCCGAGTTTTTAATGTTCATGTCGTTCTTCGTTGCCCTATATGGGCGTGGGCTTGGGCGTGGGTCTCTGGGCGGGGGCGGGGGCGGGGGCGGGGGTGTGGGCGTGGGTTTGGGTGTGGGCGTGGGCGTGGGCGTCCTAGAGAGCCCCTCGCGTGGTGCCAGAGAATCGTGACGGGGGCCCTCGCCGGGCCGGTGGGAGCGCCAGGGGGTACGGCTCGGGACGACGAGCCGGTCCCCGGGAGGGGGTCCGAACCTCTCAGGGGGTCGACGTGGTGCACAAATCACGACGTCGGGGGGTCTGGGTCTGTGCCCCGTGCGGCGGGGCGAGCCAGGCTCCAGGCTGTCGGGCGTCGTCGTCGCTCCCGGAGATCCTGGCGCTGCACTGTTCTCACGGCAGTCAAGTCGGGCACGTCCCTCTGCGGGAGGAAATGCTCAGGAGTAGTAAAAACATAGTCAGGGGACGATTTGTCGACTATTTTTTGGGACTGTTTGTAATTTTTCTTCCAAAATCCGCCTGCAGGGGCACGTGCTCGACCTAACACAACGGGCGTTTTCGTTCCAATTCGCTCCCTGGGACCCTCTCAGCTCGATCCGGCTCGACAAAGTTCGCGGCAGCATGGGGTCCAGGGCTCCGGTCGTGATTCAGGAAGGGGAAAAACACACAGACACAATCAATCGTCGATTCCCAAGAAAATATGGGAAAATATGGGAAGTGGGGGGGAAGACAGAAACCCAGAACATGTGGGAAAATATGGGGAATCTTTTTATTTGTGTGTATTTATTTGTGTGTCCTGGGGCTCCGGTCGTGATTTGTTGCGATGGCGCACTATTTTTGAGCGTCGGATCTTGGGGTGCCTCGGCGGTTTTCCAGCCCCGGGGGTGCGCTGCAGCAGCGGCGCCTGGCCGAGGGCGTGCCGGGTGCCGAGTCGTCGTCCCGAGCGGCCGCCTGGGAGCGGAGTCGTGGCCGAAAGCCACCAGGCGTCCGAGAGGGGGCGGGCCTCCTCTCGGCTATACGTAAGAGTGACCTTTCGCCGGAGTGACCTGTGGTGCGGGCCCATTGGGGCCCCCCGTTCGCCGAGCGCGATGCGATAGTAGTGTCTTGCGCGCTTGTGTTTGACCTCCCCGCGGCCCCCCGAAAGCTGCGCACCAAAGGTCACTCTTACCCAGGGTCACTCTTACGTCTAGCCGATCCTCGGAAGGCTCGGGAGTTCCCTAAGCCTTCCGACGAGTCTTCCAAGCCTTCCCCGAGGGCGCCGAGAGTTTCTCAGAAGGCGCGAGGGCTTCTGGGAAGGCCCGCCGTCTTCTGAGAAGGCCTGCTCCTCATCACTTCCCCCCTCGCTCGCCGCCGACCCGAGGCGGGGATTCATACGTACACGCCAGTCGTTGGAGGTAGGTATTTCGAGACTCCCGGACCCCCATCTGCTTCTGGTGCCTTCCCACCTCAAGAGTCGATGTGCCTTTGCTGTGTTTTGCTATTCTCTGGGAGGGTCTGAACCTAACCTGCTTCGTCCGCCCTCCTGCTTCATGCTTTTACCTACTTCCGACAGACGGGCAACCACCGCCTGGAGGATCAATTTTCGGAGACCTCGATGGGCGGTGGATATGATATTCGGGCCATCTGGGGCCCAAGTCTATCCGCACCCACCGCGCGCTGGGGCCCCAGGACGTCGCTTCCACAGGCGGTGGATAGGGATACATCCCCGCCTCGCACATGCCCAGACAGCCGGCGCCGCGAAGAGCATCGCGACTTTTTTTTTATGTGCTGTTCTTCCTCGTGGGCCTCGGGCTCTGGGGGCCCTCCGTGGTGCTGCTGCGGGAGGCGGGCGGTGCCCCCCTGGGAGGCCGCCTCCGGCGCCTCGGACGCCTCGGGACGGAGGTTTTCCTCGTCACTCTCGGCCTCTCGGGGCCCTCATTTTCACCGCCCACCAAACCACCCCAACCCAACCCGAAGGCTCAAATTTACACTCGATTTCCAGTGGGGGGGGGGGGGTCGGGAAACATCGAAAAAACACATGTGGAACCCTTACCCCCCCAACCCGAAATTCGGGTCTTCGGGTTGGGTTGGGGTGGTTTGGTAGGTGGTCACATTTGGTGGGCCCCAGGGCTCGTGTGGGCCCCATGGGGTGGACAGGCCCGCGCGGCGGAGGTTGGTCGAGGGGTCGGGGGCCGGTGCTTCGGAACGACGAGAGGGACGCCAGATGTCCGGGCATGCCAGCGTCCTTGTCGGTCCTCGGTCCCCCTCGAACCTCGATCCGCATCGATCCTGGTCGATCCTCCGCGATCCTCCGCGATCCTCCGATGCTCCTCGATGCTCCTCGATGCTCCTCGATGCTCCTCGATGCTCCTCGATGCTCCTCGATGCTCCTCGATGCTCCTCGATGCTCCTCGATGCTCCTCGATGCTCCTCGATGCTCCTCCTCGATCCTCCTCGATCCTCCTCCAGCCTCGATCCTCCTCGGCGGCCGCTGCCCACAGAGCCTCGCGTCGTAACCGAAAGACGACGGGAGTCATTTGGTAGTTTTCGGCTTCTGTCGGGCGACAAAATCTATGTTTTGTTATTTAGTTATTTGTTTAGTTGCTTATTCATGTACTTTTCACATATGTTTTACTTAGTGGTTTATTCTTCATTATTCTCGCATTCATTCTTATCCTTCTTATTGCTATTCTTTCTGATGCTTAGGTTTATTATTATCCGTATTTGTAATTATTATTTGTAATTACTCGTATTCGTATTAGTACGAGTATTCGTTCTAGAATTAGTGTTTTATATGAGTAGTAGTGATAATAGTAATCGTATTCGCATTCGTGTTCGTATTAGGTATTAGTCTTCGTATTCGTATCAGTATTAGTATTCGTATTGATATTAGTATTCGCATTCGTACCCGTATTATTATTTTTATTTATTCCTTACCTAGGCTCTGCCTAGAGGGTTCTTACTCGCTGGGCTTAAAGGGGCCGGGCAGTGGGCTTCGCCCCGGGCGGTTCCCCCGGTCCCCGCCCCGCGGTTCCCCCAGTTGCGCCCCCTTACCTTAGCTTTGCGTATCTCATCTTAGCTTAATTTAGCTTAACTTAGCTTAGCTGAGCTTCATCTTAACTTCGCGTAGCTGTAGCTTAGCTTAGCTTAGCTTAGCTCGTGTTGCACAACCTTGCTCAATGCCAAGTCGTGCAGTGTAGGCCGGATCCGGAGCATTCTCAAGCACACCCGGTGAGCGGATGCAAAAAAATGCGTGTGTTTGTGTGTGTGTGTGTGTGCGAAGGCAAAGCAGAAGCAACACCAAGCAAGATCAAAAACAAAAGCAAAGCAAAAGCAACAGCAACAGCAACAAAAATATGCTAACGGAGTTCCCCACATAAAGATGTTACGGGGTTCCAGTGCTTCTTGTCTGCGCTCTGGTGGGGCCTCCCTGGAGGGGTGGGAGGGGCACGAAACCTGATGAATAATATGGTGTGCGAATACCCTGCCCGCTCTGGTGGGGCCTCCCTGGAGGGGTGGGAGGGGCACGAAACCTGATAAATAATATGGTGTACGGATACCCTGCCCGCTCTGGTGGGGCCTCCCTGGAGGGGTGGGAGGGGCACGACACCTGATAAATAACATGGTGTGCGAATACCCTGCCCGCTCTGGTGGGGCCTCCCTGGAGGGGCGGGAACGGCACGAAACCTAGTAATAAAATATGGCGTGCGAATACCCTGCCCGCTCTGGCGGGGCCTCCCTGGAGTGGCGGGAGGGGCACGAAACCTGATAAATAATATGGTGTGCGAATGCCCTGCCCGCTCTGGTGGGGCCTCCCTGGAGGGGTGGGAGGGGCATGAAACCTGATAAATCATATGGTGTGCGAATACCCTGCCCGCTCTGGCGGGGCCTCCCTGGAATGTTGGGAGGGCGCGAAACCTGATAAATAACATGGTGTGCGGATACCCTGCCCGCTCTGGTGGGGCCTCCCTGGAGGGGTGGAAGGGGCACGAAACCTGATAACTAATATGGTGTGCGAATACCCTGCCCGCTCTGGTGGGGCCTCCCTGGAGGGGTGGGAGGGGCACGAAACCAGATACATAACATGGCGTGCGAATACCCTGCTCGCTCAGGCGGGGCCTCCCTGGAGAGGTGGGAGGGGCACGAAGCCTGATAAATAACATGGTGTGCGAATACCTTGCTTGCTCAGGCTGGGCCTCCCTGGAGGGGTGGGAGAGGCGCGACAACTTCTACATAACATGGTGTGCGAATACCCTGCTCGCTCAGGCGGGGCCTCCCTGGAGGGGTGGAATGGGCAGGATACCTGATAAATAACATGGTGTGCGAACACCCTGCCCGCTCTGGTGCGGCCTCCCTGGAGGGGTGGGAGGGGCACGAAACCTGATAAATAGCATGGTGTGCGAATACCCTGCTCGCTCAGGCGGGGCCTCCCTGGAGGGATGGGTGGGGCAGGAAACCTGATACATATCATGATGTGCGAATTCCCTGCTCGCTCAGGAGGGGCACGAAACCTGATAAATAACATGGTGTGCGAATACCCTGCTCGCTCAGGCGGGGCCTCCCTGGAGGGGTGGGAGGGGCACGAAACCTGATAAATAACATGGTGTGCGAATACCCTGCTCGCTCAGGCGGGGCCTCCCTGGAGGGGTGGGAGGGGCACGAAACCTGATAAATAACATGGTGTGCGAATACCCTGCTCGCTCAGGCGGGGCCCCTCTGGAGGGGTGGGAGGGGCACGAAACCTGATAAATAACATGGTGTGCGAATACCCTGCCCGCTCAGGCGGGTCCTCCCTGGAGGGGTGGGAGGGGCACGGAACCTGATAAATAACATGGTGTGCGAATACTCTGCTCGCTCAGGCGGGGCCCCCCTGGAGGGGTGGGAGGGGCACGAAACCTGATAAATAACACGGTGTGCGAATACCCTGCTCGCTCAGGCGGGGCCTCCCTGGAGGGGTGGGAGGGGCACGAAACCTGATAACTAACATGGTGTGCGAATATCCTGCTCGCTCAGGCGGGGCCTCCCTGGAGAGGTGGGAGGGGCACGAAACCTGATAAATAACATGGTGTGCGAATACCCTGCTCGCTCAGGCGGGGCATCCCTGGATGGGGTGAGCGGGGCGCGAAACCTGATAAATAACATGGTGTGCGAATACCCTGCTCGCTCAGGCGGGGCCTCCCTGGAGGGGTGGGAGGGGCACGAAACATGATACATAACATGGTGTGAGGAAAGGCATGGTATGGTATGGGATGGTGGATGCATGGTATGGTATAGTAAGGTATGGTATGGAGTGGCATGGTATTGGTATGGTATGATACAGTATGGGATGGTGGAGGAAGCGGGAGGAGGAGGAGGAGGAGAGGATGTTCTGGGAAAACAAGAACCCCACTCAGGATGTGGGGAAAAACAAAGGCAAAGGCAGCAGCAAAGGCAAGAGCAATAGCAAAGGCAATGCAAAGCAAAAGCAAATCCAATGCGAAAGTGTACATGTAGATTTAGATGTAGGTGTAGGTGTAGATGCGGATGCAGGTGTACCTGTAGATGTAATGTAGGTGTAGATGTTGGTGTAGATGTATATGTATATGTGAGTGTAGTTGTAGATGTATATGTAGATATAGATGCATGTGTCCATGTAGATGTGGCTGTAGGTGTAGATGTGGATGTAGGTCTAGATGTAGATGTAGGTATTAAGCTGTACTAGTATTATTATTATTACTATTACTACTACTACTACTACTACTACTACTACTACTACTACTACTACTACTACTACTACTAGTACTAGTACTAGTACTAGTACTAGTGCTGCTGCCACTACTACTACTACTACTACTACTACTACTACTACTACTACTACTACTACTACTACTACCACCACTACTACCGCCTACTGCTACAACTGCGACGATGAGGAGAAGGAGGAGGACGGCGTGTACCGTTACTACTAATATTGCTCTCCTCGGGGCTCCAACTCCTAGGTAGGGTCGCTCTGGGATCATTCGCATTCGCAACATGATTAGTTCTATGTATTATTATTATTATTTTTATTATTATGCTATTATTTGGGGTTTCATGAATAAGTTAACCATCTTCGTTTCTTTTCTTAACATGATTGCTCTCTTTATTGTTACTGTTCTACATATATACATAGATACACATACATACATCTGTGTGTGTATATATATATATATAGATTCTCTGCTCCCTGGCCAGGCCCATCCTGAACCTGGGAGCTGTGTCTACGCCCTCCAGGTCGAGCCAGGAGGGCGTGGCGTATACACCGCTGCTGGGTTCAGCATTGGGCCTGGCCAGGGAGCAGTGGGTGTGTGTTGAGATTTCGTCGCCCTACTCCGGGTGCCCTCGACGGTCTCCGGGGACCGTCAACAAATGACCCGCGATGAAAAGCCGGTGGCCCGGGTGAAAGGGTCGGGACTTCTGGGGACCCCGTATGGAAAAGTTCAGGACTTCGCATGTCTGGATATCGAGCCAAACATGTTATCCATATCCACTGCGTCTTGGAGTTTCGGGCTCCCTTCCTCCGATAAGTACCAGAGGCGCCGTGGATATGGATGAAACAATTTCGCCCCTAGGAGTCACATTTTGATCAATATCCACTGCGCCGCGGCCTGTTGTCGGGAGCGTCCAAGAGAGGGGTGAAGACTCGGGGGGTTGGATACCATGGCGGGGGTCATGATATCTCCCCAGATTTCATGGCGCCTCCCTCCTCTCATTTCATTGCGTCCCTGGCCCCCCCCCCCCTGGCCGCGCAGGTGCCGCCAGCCACGATTTGCGCCCCCCCCTTCATGGACGCCCCCCTCGTGGCCGCCCCCGATGTTGGCGCCCCTTCCCAGAAAGTTTCCCAGACGCAGCGGACCTGGACGTGAGCCGTGCCCGCAGGATGCGCCCCCGCCGCTGGCCAGGCCCATCCTGGGCCCAGGAGCGGTGCCTGTGCCCCCCTGGCCTGGTCAGGGAGGCGCATATCAGGAGGGAGACGAGCACACACTTTTGGCGTCGGCAGCCAGGCAGGGTGACTGCGCTGGCGGATAGGGCAAAAACGCGGATTCACAAGGGTGAAGCGTAGTTGGTCTTCTTGCCCCCCCTCGCTCCGCAGTTGATTGCTTCGCATTGCACTGTATCCTCTGCCCCCTTGCTTCCTCCGCAGCCGTTCGGGTCACAGGGGGGACCGCTTGTCCCACCCTCCCACCCTTTTTTTTCCCTCCCCGGGGCCGGAGAGGATCTAGGAGCAGGACTTAACGTAGGGCATACACTTGCGAATTCAGCCGCGATGCGCGTGAGAAAGAGGAGGACGGCCCGGCGCGAGCGGGGAGGAGAACGAACACACACACACACACAGACGCAAATCATCGCCGACCCTCTAGGAAAGAACAGGGGAGAATGTAGGAACTGGGGGGGGGGAAGACGAAGCTCCAGAAAGCATGGGAGAATGGGACATCCCGGGCTTTGTGTTCCTGGGCCCCTGCAATATTATCGGGGGCCCCCAAACGAGGTGGTGACCACACCGTGCGGTGAGTCGGTGGGGATTCGGGCTCACCGCACGGTTTTGGGACTCGAGTCCCCCTCCGAGGATGTCTCGGGCGACAGGGGCTTCCAGGGTCCCCAAGACCGTGCGGCGACGGACCGTGCGGTGAGGTCTTGGGGGACTTCGAGGCCACCGCACGGTCTGTCACCGCACCGTTTCGGGACTCCAAAGATTAGGGGAACGAAGAATGACATAAACATGAAAGCTCGGAGGTCCGCGCGGATTCCTCGACTCGGCGCTGGGGGCCCCCCTGGCGGCGCCGCCCCCGGCGCGCTCCGCGCGCCGAGTTTTGCTGTTTGTGCCTCGGGAGGGGAAACAAAAACACAGACACAACTCCTCTTCGATTCCCCGGAAAACCTGGGAAGATATGTGAAGTGGGGGGGGGAAGGCAAAAGCACCCAGAGAATGTAGGAAACAGGGGGAATCCTGGTATTTGTGTGTATTTAACCTCAGGAAGGCATTAAGATCCCCCCCCCCCTCCCCCCTTTTCCGGTGGATTATAACGCCCCCGCACCCTGGAGCGTTATGGCCGCACCGGAAGACCTGGCTGAGGGGACTAGCAGGGCTTAGCAGGGCCTAGCAGTGTTAACAGGGCTTAGCAGGGCTTAGCAGGGCTTAGCAGGGCCTAGCAGGGCCTAGCAGTGCGTGCTTATCAGGGTTTCGCAGGGCTGAGCAAGGCTTAGCAAGGCTTAGCTGGGCGTAGCAGGGCTTAGCAGTTGGGCGTTAGTGGGGCGGCCGCCGATGGTGGATTTTGTTTTCTGTGTGCGGCGGGTGCTAAGTGTATCGTTCGGCTAAAACTGCCCGCCTGGAATATTGAGAAAACCGGGTGCTAAGAATAACCCAGGGGGGTTTCTTAATGCCTTCCTGAGGTTATCTGTGTGTCCCAGGGCCCCTTCAATTGATCCTTCCCCGAACAAAATGCACCGCTCGCTGGCCCCCGGCCGGGCCCGGCCGGCGGCGGGGGCGCCCGAGGCGGGATTGCCGACGAGCGGCCCCGTGTGCGAGTGCGAGGTGGTGGTGGCGCGCCCGCTGGTCCTGAAGCCGCGGAACGGCGACCACCCGGCCATTGTCGAAGTGGGAACTCGTTCGGGCGAAGAGACTTTCCCAACTCGGGTTTTTTGTCGGGGGTTGTTCGGAGGGGGGGGGGACTCCCCGAGCCAAAACCAAACTCGGTGTTTTTTCGGGGATTGCTCGGGGTGTTTTCCGGGGGAGAAAGACCAAAACCCAGAAAATATGGAAAATCTTTTTAATTGTGTGTATTTATTTGTGTGTCCTGGGGCCCCTTCAACATGCCTCGGGCCATGATTTGCACCCCCCCCCCTCTTGGACGCCCGCCTCTTGGACGCTCCCAGGAGAACTGTGCTCAAGTCGGGCCTTTCCGTCCACGGGGGGAGAATGCGGGAACAGTCGAAGAGCAGTGTGGGGACGATATTTTTCTCGTGCTCTTCGGACTCGTGGTGTCGGCTGTCCTGGATTCTGCTGTGACCGTGCCTGTGTTTCCTCCAACATCCGCCTGCAGGAGGACATGCCCGACCTAAAGCTAGGCACATGCATCAGTCTTGGCCAGTTCCAGTTCCACCCTGGGCCCAGGATCGGCGCACACGTCCTCCTGGCCAGAAGGGTCTATACACCATCGTGGGGCCCAGGGTGGCCTTGGCCGGGCACGGGGGTGGTCTGTAGATGGCACCTGCGGAACAGGAAGATCAACCGTCGGAGCTCCGCGCCGACCTCTTGGATCTGAGCTGGGCCCCCTCCCTGATGCTGTCCTCGTGCGTCCTCGTCCTCCTCCTCCTCCCCCTCCTCCTCCTCCTCCTCCTCCTCGGCGTGTACGGCATCGGCGGCCGATGCCGTACACGCCGAGCCTGGGCTCAGGATCGGCCCGGCCAGAATCGGTGCGTGTGCACAGTTCCCATTTTGCCCTCGGAGCTCCGCGCGGCTCTCCCGGAACGGCGCTGGGCCCCCCCTGGCGGAGGCGGAGGAGGAGGAGGAGGAGGAGGAGGAGGAGGAGGAGGAGGAGGAGGGGGGGAGGGGGGAGGAGGAGGAGGAGGAGGGGGGGGGGAGGGGAGGAGGAGGAGGAGGAGGAGGAGGGGAGGGAGGGGAGGAGGAGGAGGAGGAGGAGGACGAGGACGCACGAGGACAGCATCAGGGAGGGGGCCCAGCTCAGATCCAAGAGGTCGGCGCGGAGCGCCGACGGCTGATCTTCCTGTTCCGCAGGTGCCATCTACAGACCACCCCCGTGCCCGGCCAGTGCCACCTTGGGCTCCACGATGGTGTATAGGCCCTTCTGGCCTCGGCCAGGAGGCGTACTCCAGATCTCGTAGTAAAGGGAGGGGGGGGCCTCATTTCGGGGGGGGTCTCTTCCAGGCCATCTTGGAGGGCCTGGGGGGGTCTGGGGACGATGGTTTGGAGGGTTCTCCCACGGGAGGGTGTCTAAAACTTCTCGTCTGGGAGGGTTGAGACCCCCTCCCTTTTATTACGAAATCTGGAGTATGCACCATTGCCCAGGATGGCCCTGGCCAGGAAGGGTGGTGGTGTGTAGATGCCTGCAGCGTATCTGTGCCGCTGTTTCTTCTTCGACCGTCGCCGATGGCGTGCTGGGCCGAACGTACAGGGTTGACAAAGTGGCAAATCGCACCGGTTTCACGCGCATGGCGTCCGCGCTGCACCTCCTCGCGCAGCCCGACTCGGCGGGGTGCGAGAAGCGCTCCGGCCACAGGCACAGGGGGAGGAGGAGGAGGACCAGGAGGAGGAGGAGGAGGAGCAGGCGGATAATGATGATAATTGTAATGTCATTGATGATGATTGATGATGATGCTGATGCTGATGCTGATGCTGATGATGATGATGATGATGATGATGATGATGATGATGATGATGATGATGATGATGCTGATTATGATTATGATTATGCTGATGATGTTAACGATACGTATGACGATGACGATGCTGATGATACTGATGATAATGCTGAGGACGATGCTGGTGATGCTGATGCTGCTGCTGATGATGATGATGACGATGATGATGATGTTGATTATGATGTTGCTGATGATGCTGATTATCATTACAATGATGCTGCTGATGATGATGATGATGATGCTGATGCAGATGCTGATGATGATGATGACGACGATGACGATGATGCTGCTGCTGATGATGCTGATGATGGTGATGACGATGACGATGATGCTGATGTTGATGATGATGATGCTGATGATGCTGATTATGATTATGATTATGCTGATGATGTTAACGATACGTATGACGATGACGATGATGATGATACTGATGATAATGCTGAGGACGATGCTGATGATGCTGATGCTGCTGCTGAGATGATGACGATGATGACGATGATGGTGATTAATATGATGATGCCGAGTATGATGATGCTGCTGATGATGATGTTGATGCTGTGATGATGCTGCTGCTGATGATGACGATGACGACGATGATGATACTGATTTTAATGCTGAGGACGATGCTGATGATGCTGATGCTGCTGCTGCTGATGATGATGATGCTGATTATTATGATGATGCCGAGTATGATGATGCTGCCAATGATGATGTTGATGCTGTGATGATGATGCTGCTGATGATGATGCTGATGATGATGATGCTGATGATGCTGATGATGCTGCTGCTGATGACGATGCGGATAATGCTGATGACGATGATGATGATGATGCTGATGATGATGATGATGATGATGATGATGATGAAGACGATGGTGATGATGATGATGACGATGATGATGATGATGATGATGATGATGATGATGATGATGATGATGATGATGATGATGATGTTGATGCTGATGATGCTGATGATGCTGATGATGCTGATTATGATTCTGATTATGCTGATGATGTTAATGATACGTATGACGATGACGATGATGATACTGATGATAGTGCTGAGGACGATGCTGATGATGCTGTTGCTGCTGCTGAAGATGATGCTGATGATGCTGATGATGATGATGCTGATTATTATGATGATGCCGAGTATGATGATGCTGCTGATGATGTTGATGCTGTGATGATGATGCTGCTGATGATGATGCTGATGATGCTGATGATGCTGTTGCTGATGATGATGCTGATAATGCTGATGACGATGCTGCTGATGATGATGATGCTGATGATGATGATGATGCTGATGTTGATGATGACGATGCTGATGATGCTGATTATGATTATGATTATGCTGATGATGTTAACGATACGTATGACGATGACGATGATGATGATACTGATGATAATGCTGAGGACGATGCTGATGATGCTGATGCTGCTGCTGATGATGATGATGCTGATTATTATGATGATGCCGAGTATGATGATGCTGGCAATGATGATGTTGATGCTGTGATGATGATGCTGCTGATGATGATGATGCTCATGATGATTCTGATGATGCTGATGATGCTGCTGCTGATGACGATGCGGATAATGCTGATGACGATGCTGCTGCTGATGCTGCTGCTGCTGATGATGATGATGATGATGATGGCGATGGTGATGATGATGATGATGACGATGATGATGATGATGATGATGATGATGATGATGATGATGATGATGTTCATGCTGATGATGCTGATGATGCTGATGATGCTGATTATGATTATGATTATGCTGATGATGTTAATGATACGTATGACGATGACGATGATGTTGATGCTGATGATAATGCTGAGGACGATGCTGATGATGCTGTTGCTGATGATGATGCTGATTATTATGATGATGCCGAGTATGATGATGCTGCTGATGATGATGTTGATGCTGTGCTGATGATGATGCTGCTGATGATGATGCTTATGATGCTGATGATGCTGTTGCTGATGATGATAATGCTGATGACGATGCTGCTGATGATGATGATGATGCTGATGATGATGATGCTGATGATTATGATGATGATGACGACGATGACGATGATGATGATGATGATGATGATGATGATGATGATGATGAGGATGAGGATGACGATGATGATGATGCTGATGATGATGCTGCTGCTGATGATGATGATGATGTTGACGATGACGATGACGATGATGATTATGATGATGATGATGATGATGATGATGATGATGATGATGATGATGACGATGATGATGATGATGAGGATGATGATGCTGATGATGATGATGATGAGGATGCGGATGATGATGATGATGATGATGATGATGATGATGATGATGATGATGATGATGATGATGATGCTGATGATGATGATGATGATGATGATGATGTTGATTATGATGTTGCTGATGATGCTGATTATCATTATAACGATGCTGATGATGATGGTGATGCTGATTATGATGATGCTGATGCTGATGCAGATGCTGCTGCTGCTGCTGCTGATGATGATGATGATGATGATGATGATGATGATGATGATGATGATGATGATGATGATGATGATGATGATGAAGATGCGCCAGCGGAGAAGGATGAGGCGGAGGAGGATGAAGAAGAGGAGGAGGAGGAGGAGCAGGAAGAGGAGGAGGAGGAGGAGGTGGAGGAGGAGGAGGAGGAGGAGGAGGAGGAGGAGGAAGGAGAAGAGACAGGAGGAAGCGAAGGAGGAGGAGGAGGAGGAGGAGGAGGAGGAGGAGGAGGAGGAGGAGGAGGAGGAGGAGGAGGAGCGGAGGAGGAGGAGGCGGAGAGAGGAGGAGGAGGAGGAGGAGGGAGGAGGAGAGGGAGGGGGAGGAGGAGGGGGGAGGAGGAGGATGGAGGAGGAGAGGAGGAAGAGGAGGAGGAGGAGGAGGAGGAGGAGGAGGAGGAGGAGGAGGAGGAGGACGAAGAAGAAGAAGAAGAAGACGAAGAAGAAGAAGAAGAATAAGAAGAATAATAAGAAGAAGAAGACGAAGAAGAAGAAGAATAATAAGAAGACGCAGAATAATAATAAGAAGAATAAGAAGACGAAGGAGAAAGAGAAGGAGAAGGAGAAGAATAAGGATAATAATAAGACGAATAAGAAGGAGGAGAAGGAGGAGAAGGAGGAGAAGGAGGAGAAGAATAAGAAGAATAATAAGAATAATAATGATAATAATAATAAGAAGAAGAATAAGAATAATAATAATAAGAAAAATACGAAGAATAATAAGAATACTACTACTACTAATAATAATAATAATAATAAGAAGATTAATAATAATAAGAAGAAGCATAATCATAATAATAATAATAATAATAAGAATACTAATAATAAGAATAAGAAGCATAATAAGAAGAAGCATAATAAGAATAATAAGAAAAATAAGAAGAATAAGACTAATCATAATAAGAATAAGACGAATAATAATAAGCAGAATAATAATAATAATAATAATAATAATAAGAAGAATAATAATAAGAAGAAAAATAATAAGAATAAGAATAATAATAAGAATAATACTAATAATCATAATAAGAATAATAAGAAGAAGAAGAAGCATAATAAGCAGAATAAGCAGAATAAGAAGAATAAGAAGAATAAGCAGAAGAAGAAGCATAATAATAATAATAATAATAATAATAATAAGAAGAAGAAGAAGAGGAGGAGGAGGAGGAGGGCGCAGGCACAAGCATCTGGGGATGAAGAACAGGCCGGCCCCCGCCATCGTGCGCGCCATCGTCGGCAGGGGGCCTGCGTCCGCGGACGCGGGGATGCCAGCCACGGAGCTGTCGGCGAAGGGGGTCAGAGACTCCGTAGAGCTCGACACGGAGGGCATGAACGACAGCCAGGTCTCGAAGGAGGGAAACGGCTTGAACAGATACTTGGGAGTTCCGCGCGGATTTCTTGCATCGGCGCTGGGGTCATCCCTGGCACGCGGAGCGCGCCAGCGGGGGCGCTGGAGGCGCCGCCAGGGGGGCCCCAGCCCCGATCCAAGAATTCCGAGCGGAGCTCCAAGGGTTTAATGTTGACGCAGCTTGTTCTTCCCCGACAGGTCACGGCCATCAAGGAGTCGCTGCGCGCGTCCCTCTCCCTGGTGCAGGGCCCCCCCGGGACGGGGAAGACGTCCACGGCGCTGCGGATCATGAGGCACTGGGTCCGGGGCTCCCGCGACATCCTCGCGGGCAGGAGGACCGCGCTGCTGGCCACGAGCGACTCGAACATCGCGGTGGACAACCTGGTCGAGGGGCTCTCGAGGACGGGCGTCCGAGTTGTGCGGCTGGGGCGGCCGGAGGCGTCCCGGCCCGAGCTCCTGGACTACTGCGCCGACGAGATCGCCGCGAAGGCGTGCGGCGTTAACAAGCTGAGCGAGCTGCAGGACGCGGCCAGGGCCAGGGCACGCGAGGAGGTCCATCGAGCGGTCGAGATGGCGGAGGTTGTGTGCTGCACCTCTATGGGTGCGGGCAGCGGCATGCTGTCCGATTACACGTTCCCACGGGTGCTGATGGACGAGGCGTCCCAGGCGACAGAGCCGTCCACCATCGTCCCAATATGTAAGGGATGCTTGCAGCTGGTACTGCTGGGGGACCACTGCCAGCTGCCGCCCACCGTTGGATCCGACCTGGCCGCAAAGGAGGGTCTCGCACTCTCGCTCTTCGAGCGCCTGGCGCGCGCTGGGGTGAAGCCGACGCTGCTGCAGCAGCAGTACCGGATGCACCCGGCCATCTCGGAGTTTCCGCGTCAGCATTTCTACGCCGGCGAGCTCGCGGACGGCATCGGAGCCGAGGACCGGCAGACTCCGAACGGGTTCCGGTGGCCGGACGAGAAGATGCCGGTTGGCGTGGTGCCGGTGCACGGGCACGAGATGTCCGAGGGCACCTCTTGGCTGAACGAGGATCGGCGACTGCAATCGGGGAAACGTAGGACGGGTTTGCCAGAACTCGGATGTGCCGACGCTTTCCGACGGGGTCCTGAATGTTGACGGCCGTGGGATGCTTGCAGCGGGAGATCACGTCACATTGCAGACTGGATCTCGCCATTCTCTTGACGGCCCTGTCAGTCCAGCCCGAGTTCCCCGAACCCCCTGAGTCTTACGTCCCCCCGCTAATGTCGGGGGAGCGTAAGACCCGGGTTTGCCAGGACTCGGGTTCGCCATCGTTTTTTGACGACCGCGCCTCGGATTTTGACGAGGAGGAGTTTCGTGGGATGTCTGCAGCGGGAGGCCTCGTCAAAATGAAGGCTCGGCCTCGTCATTTTTTTGACGACCTCGTCGGGGATTTCCGAGTCCCCTGTACCCAGGTCTTACGTCCCCCTGATAATGTCAAAGGGTGTGGTGGCGCCGGGGTGTGGTTTGCGATCTACGTCGTTGGGGCTTGGGGGGCACCACGTGGCCCTCGTCGGGCCTCGTCGAGGCGCGGCGGGGTAACTCTGTCGAGGTCCTCGCCCGCCGCCCCCAGACCCCCGACGCCGCGATCTACTCACAGCGTCGACCCCCGGAGGTCTGGACACATTCCCCTGGACCGGTTTTTCATCCCGAGCCGTTTTCTGACGATTTTCTGGGGCCCGGGAAGTCGAGGGAGGAAACGATTTCTGGACGGGACACTTGGCGTTTTTACGAAACGGTCGCGGGCGTCTACTGAACAGCCCTGCCCTGTTCGATTCCTTCAGTGGGCGCGTTTACTACACGGCCTCGCGCGTCGGGGTGGTCATTATCGGGGTGCATGTTCTGCCCTCGAGGAAGGGCCCCCCGAGGCCGAAGATCTCCCAGCCGTCACCGCGGCGTGCGTCTCCAGCGGCGGCTCGCCGCGCGCGCTGGGCCGTGCGGCTGGCTTGGCGGCCTGGAGGGGGAGGAGGAGGAGGAGGAGGAGGAGGAGGAGGAGGAGGAGGAGGAGGAGGAGGAGGAGGAGGAGGAGGAGGAGGAGGAGGAGGAGGAGGAGGAGGAGGAGGAGGAGGAGGAGGAGGAGAACGCCCCCCGTCGTGATATTTTCGCAGCGCGAGGGCGTCTGGGCCCGCCTCCCAGGGAGTGCGGGCTGCGAGCCGCGCCCTCGGCACGCCCCGCGCGCCGGAGAGTCGCCCGCAGGAGGAGGGGCGGAAGGTGGTCGACGTGCTGCGGGGGTTCCTGCAGGGAGGCCTCCAGACCACGGAGGTGGTCGGGCGGGGCCAGAGCTCCTCCTCCTCGCTCCTCGCTCCTCCTCCTCGGTCCTCCTCCTCCTCCTCCGCCTCCTCCTCCTCCTCGCTCCTCCTCCTCGCTCCTCCTCCTCTCCTCCTCCTCCTCCTCCTCCTCCTCCTCCTCCTCCTCCTCTAGGACGAGGATACATCCGTTCCAGAGCGCTCCGGAACGCTCTCAGAGCGTCCCAGAACGCTCTGAGAAGGCCGCGGCACCCGAGACATCCTCCAGAGCCACCGCATTTAGTCTCACCCGGTTTTGTCCTCGTCCTGGCTTCGTCCCAGGTGGGGGTGGTGACGCCGTACGGCGCCCAGGCCCGGCTCCTGCGAACCCTGCTCAAGAGAGTCGGCATCAGGACGGGCCGCGACCTCGGCGGGGTCGAGGTGAACTCCGTGGACTCTTTTCAGGGGCGAGAGAAGGAACCGAAGAGGAAAACACTGCATACAGTCGAGGTTGATCACTAGGTCGACTTGCCAAATCAAAGGTACCCTTGTGTCCTGTGTTTCGCGACCCATGCCTGCTGCATTCCTGTGGCAGTGTGGCCCTCAGAAGGGTCCTGTGTCCTCCCGCGTGTCCTCTCCAATCAACCCCGACAGTAGACGTGAACTTTCGACGGTCCGCGCGCACCTCCGAGAAATCATGTTCCTTCAGTGCCAGTCGAGGCGCGGCGCCCGGGCCCTCTGAGGATACGTTTTGGAGGCACTACGTTGCCAGATGAGGCGCGGCGCCCGAGCTTGTGAGGGCACCTTTTGGAGGCGTTATGCTGCCAGGAGGGAAAACAAGAAAATATGTCCATTCAGCCTCTGGTGCCTCCCAGGATGTGATCATCATGTCGACGGTGCGCGCGAGCGACCACGGCGGCATCGGCTTCACCTCGGACTGGCGCCGCGTCAACGTCGCGTTCACGCGCGCCAGGCGGGGCCTCGTGGTTGTCTGCAATCCAGACCGAGGAGGAAACAACAGCACGAGCAGAACCTTCCCGAGGCCCGCACGGATGTGCTGCATCCTGGGAGGTCCAACGTATTGAAAACATCAAGACGCAGATTTTTCGCAGATTTCGGCCCCCAGGGGCCCTCGCCGGGCCTCGGGACCGTCAGAAAACGACTCAGGATGCAAGACCGTTCCTGGGGAATGGGTCGAGACTTCCGGGGACCCCGTCTTGACAAGTCACGACGTCGGATCTCTGGGTCGGCGCACGGACCATCCTTCCTGGCACGCGGAGCGCGCCACGGACCACCCTCCGGGGCGGCGCTGGCGTCGCCGCCCCTGGGAGGCCGGCCCATCGCCGGTCCGAAAAATTGCTTCTGTTCCTGCTACATTCTCCAGGCAGCGCTTTGCACCCTACGGATCCTCGCCTCTGCTCCAGGGTAGTCGGGACCCGGTGCCGCTCCAGCCGGCCGGTGGCCGCCCGCCGACACCCGTCGCTGCCGTCCGTCGCCGCCGTGGCTGGGCCCCGGTGCCGCCCCGGCAAGCTTGTGGCCGGCAGTGCAGTCGCCGCCCGTCGCCGCAGCCCGTCGCCGACCTTTTTGCGCCGCGCTGCGCTGCGCTGCGTTGCGTTGCGTTGCTTCGCGTTGCTTTGCATGGCTTTGTATTGCTTTGCATCGCTTTTTGCATTGCTTTGCGTTGCCTTGCCTTGCACTGCACTGCGTCGCACTGCTCTGCACTGCGTCGCGCTGCTTTGCACATGCGTCGCGCTGCTTTGCATTGCGTCGCGCTGCTTTGCATTGCGTCGCGTCGCTTTGCGCCATCTAGACTGCAACACATGGACTGCACCACCTAATTAGATTGCACTGCGTTGATTGCACCGCCTAGGCTGCGCCGCACCATGCCATATACCCAAAGATCCGATGTCGTGATTTTTTCAAGACGGGGTCCCCGGAAGTCTCGACCCATTCCTCAGGACCGGTTTTGCATCCCGAGTCGTTTTTTGACGGCCCCGAGGCCCGGCGAGGGCCCCTGGGGGCCGAAATTTGCGAAAAACTTCCGTCTTGATTTTTTCAACACGTTGGAGATCTGGGTACATCACTGCCCCGGGTCCTTGCACTGGCTAACATGCTGGTGCCCGTGCCGCCCTGCCTCGATGCAGGAAGCCCGCGCAGGCTTCCGAGAGGCCCTGCTCGTGCCGCTCTTCCCTCCCCGGGCCGGAGACGCTGGCGAGGGAGGGCCGCACCTGGGCGCCCTGGCTGCGCTGGGCGGCGGCGCGGGGGCTCTTCTGCGGCCCGGCGCCGCCGCTGCCCCCGCCGAGCCCGGGCGCCGCGCCGGTGGGCCTTCGGGCCCTGGAGGCCCGCCGGGGGCCGAGCCCGCCCCGCGGGGCGCAGGGCCGCAGCCGCAGCCCGAGGCGCCGCGGGCTCGCCGCCGCCGACGCCGCGGCGGCCGCCGCGGTGGCCCGCATCGCCCGAGGGGGCCGCGCCTAGAGCGCCTCGGGCGCCCGCGGTGGCGGCCCCCTGCGCGGCGCAGGGCGGCCCCCTGCGCGCTGCAGCGCCGCCCGCTGCGGCGCTCGCGCGGCAGGGCGCGCCGGTGCGGCGGAGGCGCCCGCGCTGCGCGGCGCAGGGCCGCGCGGCGCGGCGCAGGGCCCTGGGCGCGGGCGCCGAGCGGGCGCGGCGGGCCGCGGCCCCGCCCGTGCGGCCAGGACCCGCAGGCAGCCGCGGTGCCCGCGGCGGCACGCGCTCCCGCCGCGGGCGGGCTGCCGCGGGCCAGGTTGCACTTGGCACCGCGGCGGGCTTTTGCGCTGGCAGTCGCCGCCGCCGCGGGCCAGCGGCCGCCTGTGCATGTGGGCACCATCACCATCATGATCATCATCCCCCTCGTCGTCATCACCACCATCACCATGACCATCACCATGACCATCACCATCGCCATCACCATGGCCATCGCCATCACCATCGCCATCGCCATCACCATCACCATCACCATCACCAGTATCATCATCACCAGTATCATCATCATCATCATCATCATCATAATCATCATCATCAGCATCATCATCATCATCATCATCATCATCATCATCACTAGCACCAGCATTACCATCATCACCATCATTATCACCGTCATCACCATCATCACCATCATCACCATCATCACCATCATCATCACCATCATTACCATTATCATCATCACCACCATCATCACCATCATCATCATCATCATCATCACCGTCATTACTAGCATCAGCAACATCATCACCATCATCATTGTTCTCACCAACATCATCATCATCAATGCATCATCATGAGCAGCACCATTATCAGCATCATCATCACCAACACTATCTCTATCATCGTCATCATCATCATCATCATCACAACCACCATTATCGCCACCACCATCATCGCCACCAGTATTATGAGCATCATCATCATAATCATACTTTCTATCATTATCAGCATCATCAGCAGCCCCATCATCATCATCATCATCACCATCCACCATCATCATCTTCACCACCATCACAACCATCGCCATCATCGTCATCATCATCACCGTCATTACAACCATCACCGTCACCATCATCATCACCATCACCATCACCACCGCCATCATCATGATCATCACCATCATCACCATCATCACCATCACCACCACCATGATCACTGTCATCATCATCATCATCATCATCATCATCATCATCATCATCATCATCATCATCATCAACACCATCATCATCATCATCATCATTATTATCAGCATCATCAATTTCGTCTTCATTTTCATTATCGTCCTCGTCATTATCAACATCACCAGTATCACCACCACCATCATCGCCATCATCACCATCGTCAACATCATCATCACCATCATCAACATCATCATAATCATAATCCTCCTCCTCCTCCTCCTCCTCATCATCATCATCATCATCATCATCATCGCCGTCACCATCACCATCACCATCACCATCATCATCTTCATCATCTCCGACGAGGTCTTTTCACAACGCTCGAATATGAACACCGGCATAGGCACACACATTCGTAGCTCCGCGCGGATGTTTTGAATCGGCGCAGGAGACCCCTGCCAGGGAACGGGGTCCAGCGCCGATCCAAGAAATCCGAGTGGAGCTCCAACAACAGTTTATGCTCATGCTGGTTTCCCCTCCCCCGCTTGTTAAGTCGGGCATGTCGCTCTACAGGAGGAATTTTCAAAATTGGCATAAGAATAGTCTGGGAACGATTTTTCGAGTATTTTTGACTATATTGAAATTTGTGTTTGAGTTTTTTTTTTTTTCGTCCTAAATCCGCCTGTACGGGGACATGCCCGACCTAAGACTCGTGGACACGGACCCCTCCCCAGGACCAGGCCCTCGTCCTGGGCCGTCTTTGGACGGCCCAGTTGCTCGGCGAGGGCCCCAAGGGTCCGCAACTGGCCACAAACCTCCGCCCGCGACATCTTTCAGGACGAGAGGATGTGTGGGCGTGGCTGGCCTCGAGGGGGAGGGTCGGGCAAGGCTAGGACGAGGATGAAAGCGCTCCGGAACGCCCTCGCAGAGTCCCGGACCGCTCTGGGAAGGCCGATGCGCCCGAGACATCCTCCAGAGCCGCTGGATCTCAGGGATTCTCGAGTTTATCCTCACCCGATTTTGTCCTCGTCCTGGCTTCGTCTTAGAGGATGTGGGGGCAGTCCTGAGCGTAGGCTGGTTACGTTGCATCTTGGGGGGACCTCGCCTGTCCCCTAAATCGGTGTCTTTTCTTCTGCCCGACGCGGGCTCGATGCGGACTCGACGCGGACTTGGCGTGGATCCGACGCGGATTCGCGGATTCGGCACGGGTTCGACACGAATCCGACGAGTCCGACGTGGATGCGACGCGGATTCGACGCGGGCAGGGCCCCGACGCCGACGGCAGAAACAAGGTCCCCCGAGGATGCACAGAACCAGAAAACAGGTAAGAAAGACACACCAATAAACACAACAAATCAGACAACAAGGTCCCCCGAGGATGCAACCTGAGGTGTGGGGGCTGCCCTGTATGGGAAATGGGGGGAAGACAAACACGCCCAGAAAAAATTAGAACCTATGGGGAATCCTGTCTTTTTCCCAACCCTCCTGCGTTGGGTACTCGTTTTGAATAGAGCACTGCGGTCTCCACCTTCCTTCCTTCCCGCCTCCTCCTCCTCTCTTCCCTCTTCCTCTCCTCTCTTGCTTCCCTTCTCCGCCTCTCTTCGCTCCTCCTCTTCTCTCTTGCATCCCTTCTCCTCTCTTCGCTCCTCCTCTCTTGCTTCCCTTCTCCTCCTCTCTTCGCTCCTCCTCTTCTCTCTTGCCTTTTACGTCATCCCTTTGGGGCTGCGATCTGTGAAACTGTCGCCACTTTCGAGGGCTGCTGGTGGGTCCAGCGGAGTGAGGCACCACGCAGATTCAGATTAGACCTCGCCATCCCTGGGGGGCTGCGATCTGCGAAACTGTCACACTTTCGAGGGCTGCTGGTGGGTCCAGCGGAGTGAGGCACCACGCAGATTCAGATTAGACCTCGCCATCCCTGGGGGGCTGCGATCTGCGAAACTGTCGTCACTTTCGAGGGCTGCTGGTGGGTCCAGCGGAGTGAGGCACCACGCAGATTCAGATTCGACCTCGACTTTTCGAGGGCACTGCGATCTGCGGAGTCGAGGCTTTCGAGGGCTGCTGGTGGATTAGACCTCGCCATCTGGGGGTTTGCTCGAGATTGTCGTCACTTTCGATTCTGAGGCACCACGCCAGATTAGACCTCGCCGTCCGGGGGGCTGCGATCTGTGGAAACTGTCGTCACTTTCGAGGGCTGCTGGTGGGTCCAGCGGGGTGAGGCACCACGCAGATTAGATTAGACCTCGCCATCCCTGGGGGCGCGATCTGCGACACTGCGCCCTTTCGAGGGCTGCTGGTGGGTCCAGCGGAGTGAGGCACCACGCAGATTCAGATTAGACCTCGCCATCCTTGGGGGGCTGCGATCTGCGAAACTGTCGCCACATTCGAGGGCTGAGGGTGGGTCCAGCGGAGTGAGGCACCACGCAGATTCAGATTAGACCTCGCCATCCCTGGGGGGCTGCGATCTGCGACACTGACGCCACATTCGAGGGCTGCTGGTTGCGAAACTGTCGCCACATTCGAGGGCTGCTGGTGGGTCCAGCGGGGTGAGGCACCACGCAGATTCAGATTAGACCTCGCCATCCCTGGGGGGCTGCGATCTGCGAAACTGTCGCCACATTCGAGGGCTGCTGGTGGGTCCAGCGGAGTGAGGCACCACGCAGATTCAGATTGGACCTCGCCATCCCTGGGGGTCTGCGATCTGCGAAACGGTCACCACTTTCGAGGGCTGCTGGTGGGTCCAGCGGAGTGAGGCACCACGCAGATTCAGATTAGACCTCACCATCCCTGGGCGGGGCTGCGACCTGTGAAGCTGTCACCACTTTCGAAGGCTGCTGGTCAGTCCCGCGGAGTGAGGCACCACCCAGATTCAGATTAGACCTCGCCGTCCCTGGGGGGCTGCCATTCTGGGAAACTGTCACCACTGACGCGGGTCGTTTCAGAGGTGAGGTTGCCCCTCGTTCCTTCTCCTGTCCCTCGTTCCCGCCCCCGCTATTGTTTAACAAGCCTTGAGACATACTCCTCGTCTCATCGATTGCTGTTCTGTGAGTCGTGCAACATTACGCATCCCATGTAGGTCGCACTACAAATCGCCGCGCCTGCACTGTCACGGTTCCTGCTAATGTTTCCCTACTCCGTTTGCCACTTGATGCCATTGGGTTGGGTACGTCGCAGGGTAATTTGTCTGTATTTCTTTGTGTGTCCTTGGGCCCCTTTGGGGGGCGTGGGCTGGCCCCGAGGGTGGCCAGCCTCGGAGGTGGCCGAGGGGGAGCGGGAGGGGGCACGGCGGTCGGCCCCCCATGCGGAGGCGGCCGCGCCCGCCGGCCCCCTGCCGCGTCGTGCGCGCTTTACTCTGGACGCCCGAAATGGGTACTGAAAGAATGGGTATAATGCCCAACAACAATTCCTGTTCATTTTGAGCAGGCCTCGCTGTCCACGCCGCCGCGGCCTGTGTCCATTCGAGACAGAGGGCCGCCTGCCCAACAGCGGCCGCTGTTGGTTTGGGACAACATTTGCTGTTGGGCATAGTACCCATTCTTTCGGTACCCATTTCGGGCGTCCAAATTTACTCCCGGAGGGCGAAGGTAATCGAGATCGTTCCACCGACCCCTATCCTCAAGTCGGGCCTGTGCCCCATACATGGGGAGCTTTCGACGGAAAAGAAGAAAAACGACCCCCAGAAGAGTCAGAGAAGAATCCCAAATTAGTCTGGGGACTATTTTTTGAGTATTTGTTTGACCTTTTTGAGGTTTTTACCTAACAGCTTTTGCTGATAGGTTTCTAGTGGACTCAAAAGAGAGCAGCAGATGACTCCACAGGGGGGTCGGGGCGGCATCCGGGGAGCTGTGTCCGAACTCGTGTCCGAATGCGCTTTTCGCAAACAGTAACACACTTCGTGCTCTTCGACCTCCCAGAACTCCATTCCCGGGCCACATTCTGAATGCCTGGAGCCAACTGTAGGCCACTTCGTGCTCTTCGACTTCCCAGAACTCCATTCCCGGGCCACATTTTGAATGCCCGGAGCCAACTGTAGGCCACTTCGTGCTCTTCGACTTCCCAGAACTCCATTCCCGGGCCACATTTTGGATGCCCGGAGCCAACTGTAGGCCACTTCGTGCTCTTCGATTTCCCAGAACTCCATTCCCGGGCCACATTTTGGATGCCCGGAGCCAACTGTAGGCCACTTCGTGCTCTTCAAGTTCCCAGAACTCCATTCCTGGGCATGATTTTGAATGCCCGGAGCCAACTGTAGGCCACTTCGTGTTCTTCTAGTTCCCAGAACTCCATTCCTGGGCCACATTTTGAATGCTGAGGCAGGCTGATGCTGCGGCCGAGGCAGGCTGAGGCTGAGGCAGGCTGAGGCTGAGGCCGAGGCTGAAGGCAGACTGAGGCTGAGGCTGAAGCAGACTGAGGCTGAGGCTGAGGCAGGCTGAGGCTGAGGCTGAGGCAGGCTGATGCTGAGGCAGGCTGAGGCTGAGGCTGAGGCTGATGCAGGCTGAGGCTGAGGCAGGCTGAGGCTGAGGCTGAGGCCAAGGCTCAAGGCAGACTGAGGCTTTGGCTGAAGCAGGCTGAGGCTGAGGCTGAGGCTGAGGCTGAGGCAGGCTGAGGCTGAGGCTGAGGCAGGCTGATGCTGAGGCAGGCTGAGGCTGAGGCAGGCTGAGGCTGAGGCTGAGGCTGATGCAGGCTGAGGCTGAGGCAGGCTGAGGCGGAGGCCGAGGCTGAAGGCAGGCTGAGGCTGAGGCTGAAGCAGGCTGAGGCTGAGGCTGAGGCAGGCTGAGGCTGAGGCAGGCTGAGGCTGAGGCTGAGGCTGATGCAGGGTGAAGCTGAGGCAGGCTGAGGCTGAGGCGAGGCTGAAGGCAGATTGAGGCTGAGGCTGAAGCCGGCTGAGGCTGAGGCTGATGTAGGCTGAGGCTGAGGCAGGCCGAGGCCGAGGCCGAGGCTGAAGGCAGACTGAGGCTGAGGCTGAAGCAGGCTGAGGCTGAGGCTGAGGCAGGCTGAGGCTGAGGCTGAGGCAGGCTGATGCTGAGCCGAGGCTGAAGGCAGACTGAGGATGGGGAGGCGCAGCAAGCAGGTGAGGTGAGGCAAGCTGCGGGCAGACTGAGCCGAAGGCTGAAGCAGGTGAAGCAGATTGAGGCTGAGGCTGAAGCAGGTGAGGCTGATGCTGAGGCAGGCTGAGGCTGAGGCTGAGGCTGATGCAGGCTGAGGCTGAGGCAGGCTGAGGCTGAGGCCGAGGCTGAAGGCAGACTGAGGCTGAGGCTGAAGCAGGCTGAGGCTGAGGCTGAGGGAGGCTGAGGCTGAGGCTGGCTGAGGCTGAGGCTGAGGCAGGCTGAGGCTGAGGCTGTGACTGCGACTGCCGTTGCCACTGCGACTGTCATCGCGAATGCGACTACGACTGCGAGAACAGCAGAATTCTACAACTGGATTCTCATCCGAATCTTAAGGGGAACGCTTCCAGATATGCTCCTACACATCGCTGTTAGGTTGCTTTGCTGGGATATTTTTTTTTCGTCGAAATCCCCCTGTGGGGGGACAGGTTCGACTTATCCTATCCACATCCTCGTCCCCTTCGAGACCCCCACCAAATCATCACCCCAGTTGGGTATGCACCCCTCGAAACCCGAAGGGAACGGCCTATATCCCAATCTAGGGGGGCAAATCGGCCAGTGGGGCCCAGGCAACGCCGCTGGGGATGGGGGTCGGATAAACGATGCTGAAAGAAGAGGTCGGAAGCGGCCCTGCTTTGGTGCGTGCTAGTCTGGCACTTTCATGGGCCGCCGAAGACTTCCCTCCCCCGTCCCCCTGAGGAGAAGGACGAGGCGGAGAAGGAGGAGGAGGAGGAAGCGGAGGAGGAGGAGGAGGGGGCGGAGGAGGAGGAGGGGGCGGAGGAGGAGGAGGAGGAGGAGGAGGAGAAGCAGGAGGAGAGGAGGCTGGGAGTATCGACGACCCAGGTTTTTCGACGGGTTTGCACATCCGGAGGCCTCCGGGGACTTCTGGAGAGGGGGGGCCTCCGGAGGCCATCCGGGGGGCCATCTGTCACTCCCACCTCTTTTCCATCTGGGGGCCATCCGTCAGTTGGAAATTGGAACATATACATTGCCAGTGGCGGGCTGTGTTTTAGTCCCAGGACTTCCCGAGGCTCGCGCGGACAACGTCGGGGTGGTGTGGTGTATGCTCTGCTCCCCGCTTTCCCCGGGGAAGCAGCGAAGCATGCATGCACACCAGGATCCCGTATACACCAGGATCCGCTTCCCTGTCGCGAATGTCCGCGCGGGGTGCAGGGCGGGAAATGCGTCGGTGCATAGTGGCCTCCGGTGAGGAGGAGGAGGAGGAGGATGAGGAGGAGGAGGAGGAGGAGGGAGGAGGAGGAGGAGGAGGAGGAGGAGGCGAGGAGGAGGAGGGAGGAGGAGGGGGAGGAGGAGGAGGAGGAGGAGGAGGAGGAGGAGGAGGAGGAGGAGGAGGAGGAGGAGGAGGAGGAGAAAGGGAGCGCGGGGGCAGCGCCGGGGCGAGCGGGCATCGGGCGGGGGCGGAGCTCCGAGGCCCGAGAGGTTCCACGCCCCCGGGCGCGCGTCCGGCGGGGCTCCGGCGGGGCTCTCCGGCGGCGGCCTCCACCGGGGCCTCCCGGATGGGGTGGGAGCAGGTGGGGCAGGCCTGGAGGTTTACACCAACTGTTGGTGTCAACCTCTAGGCCTTTTTAAGCGGCCGTGGAGAGGGCGACGCGCGTGCGATCCGCCCCGCGGGTGTCCGCCGCGCTGGCGACGCACTCACCAAAGTGCCCCCTTGCGAGGGCGACGTGCACGTTCGAGAGGGCGGCTGGCCTTTTCGGCGGCCGACGCACGGGCGACGAATGCGCGACGCACCTCCTGTCGCGAAGGGGGGGGGTGTCAGCACGCCGGTCGCTTTACTGGGCCTTAACACACCAACACCAAGATCGGCGGTGTTCCTCCACCGAGGGAAGAGGATCCCGATCTCGGTGGTGGTGGTGATGTTCGGGCTTTCTGAGTGGCCGGAAGATTACCACCAACACCATAATCCAGGATCATCTTTCTCCCGTGGAGGCAACCCCTGATGTTGGTGTTGGTGCCAATTTCCAAGCTTCCAAAGATGGGGTGGGAGCAGGTGGGGCCGGAGGATCGCGCCGCATCGCCGAGGCATCGGCGATGCAGCTCGATGTGGAGCCCGATTTTCTCAGCGCCGACGTCGCCGATGCATCGCCGGTGCATCGTCGGTGCATCGCCGATGCATCGTCGATGGCGGCGCGACCCAGCGGCCCCTTCTGCTCGCACCCCGTCTGGGAGGTCCCCACTCCCGCGGCCGCGCCTTCCAGCGGCCAAGGCCTCGCCGAGAGCGTTCCAGGGGGCGCCTGGGTACCTTCGAGCGGCCGCCGGAGGCCCGAGTGAGTGCCCGAGCTCCAGAGGACGAGGACCAGGGTCGGAGTCGAAGATCAGGGGCCACGTCAGGGGGTGATAGGCTCAGGGGGGGTGACGCATCGACCCCCCCATCGCGAACTGTTCGCCGACCTGGGGGCCGGGCAGTCCACGCCGCCCAGGAGCGTGCGGTCTGGCCATCGGGGGCTGGCTGCCGGTCCTGTCGGCGATGCTTCGCCGATTCCAGATCGGTGTTTCCCCCCCTCTGAGCCAGCCTAGCGGTCCCCTTCAGGAAAGCATCGGGGGCATCGGGGGCATGCATGCTCAAAGGACGAGCCCAGCTGGATGCTCGCACCTCCTCATTCCAGGGGCCGTTTGGATGGGTGTTCCTCCAACTCCGCCTCTGCCCCTTGATAATTATCCCACCTATTCCGCCCACCCCCCCGAGAGCACGACAGCGCTGTGGTATTTTCAATCTGCCCTGTCTACCGTAGGCCTTCTGTGCGAAGGGAACGAAACAAATCGTGGATTGAGGCGCATGGGTAAGCTTAAGTCGGGCATGTCTCGGAATGCTCAAAAATAGTCCAAACATATCGGGGGCCCCCAAACGGGGTGTTGACCACACCGTGTGGTGAGTCGGTGGGGATTCGGGGTCACCCCACGGTTTTGGGACTCGGGTCGTTCTCCGAGGGCGTCTCGGGCGTCTCGGGCGGCTGGGGCATCCGAGGTCCCAAAACCGTGCGTTGACGGACCGTGCGGTGAGGTCTTGGGGGATTTCGAGGTCACCGCAAGGTCTGTCACCGCACCGTTTCGGGACTCCAAAACATAGCCTGGGGACGATTAGTCTATTATTGAAGAGGCCTTGAGGCTGGCGCCGCCGACCCTGAACGACGACGACGACGACGACGATGCTGGGGTAATTTGGGGCCTCATGTGAGCCTCTTGTAGGCCTGTTGGGAGGCTCCTGGGGGCCTCTTGGGGCTTTCCGGGCGCATCTTGGGGGTTTCTTGGGGGCGTCTTGGGGGCTTCTTGACGCTTCCTGGGAGCCTCTGAGGCCGAGGGCTCGAAGTGTCCGTTCGGGTCCCCCGTCTGGGCACTCTCTTTAAACAGTCTTGGGGGGCTCTGGGGCCGTCTTGGAGCCCTCTTGGGCCGTCTGGGGGCCACGTTGGGTCGTTTTTGGGCCGTCTCCGAGGCCTCTTGGGCTATCTTGGGGCGATCTTGGGGACCTCTTGGGCCGTCTGGGAGTGTCGGGAAGCCGAAAAGGTGAGAATCCCCAAATCTAGCAAACAAGCACCTTAGTAATATCAATGATGTTTGCCTCTTGGCCCCTTCTTGGGAGTGCTCTTGGAGGCCTCTTGGAGGCCTCTTGGGGCGTCTTGGACACCTCTTGGACCGTCTGGAGACTTCTTCGGCGTCTTGGAAAAATAGTTCGGCGATTCGGGGCCCTCTTGACCGTCTTGGAGGCCCCTTGGGGCAGTCTTGGTTCGTCTTAGGGGGTTTTGGGCTTTGGGTCCACCTGGGGGCAGGGGGGGCATCCTGACCTGGGACCCCCCGGGAGCCCCCCTCAGGATCTCCCCCCGGGCCCCCACCTGGGACCCCCCCCACAGCCCCCCCGGCGGGGAAGGGATCAAGGGAAGGGGCTTCCTTTCGAATGAATTACGACGTTCGTGATTGTCGTTTTGCTAGCACGCTAGAAGATAAAATGCCCAGGGCATGAGAGGCAACGGCTGGCGCGATGGAGAAGGAGACCCAGGAGAAAGCTTGGAATGGCGACGGCGACGACGACGACGAGGAGACGACGGATGATACAGCGACCAGCGAGAGAGCCTCTTCCACACGCCGACAGGGTCGGCGGATTTGTTGGACTGTTGTCGCGTATTTGTTGTAGCCAATATTCTATTTCCAAGATCCGTCTGCAGGAGGACATGCCCGACCTACCCCTCGCCCCGGCCCTCCTGGGACGAGACCAAGGGGCTACTTGGGCAGAGCTGCGATGCCACACCGCCCGCGTCCAGAGAGTTGCTGATGCTCGGCAGTGCGCTGTCTGCCGCTGCTGGCAGGGGGAGTGTCCCCCCGCCCCCCCTAAAACGAGGACCGGGAACATGATTCGGGAGGGTCAGAGCCCTCCTGGTAAATTAGTCGGGGGGTTCAGAAACCCCCTCACTCCCCTCGCCCCGGAGTAGACCAAATCAGAGTAGGGTATAGCTGAGCCGAGAAGAGTATACCAGTAGAGTCGAGCAAAAAATAGAGTACACCAGAGAAGAGCAGAGCAGAGCTGAGTAGGAGTAGAGTCGAGTAGAGTAGAGTATGTTGGGGTACGGTAGGGTAGAGTAGGGTAGAGTAGGGTAGAGCAGAGTAGCGTAGAATAGAGCAGGGCAGGGTAGAGTAAAGTAGGGTAGAGTACAGCAGGGCCTTAGTAGGATTCTGACAGAGCTGGATCGAGTCCTAGTAGCATTCTGTCTGAGCCAGCGCTTGGCGTGGGCGCCAGAGACAGCTGCGCCGCCGCCGCTGATGTTTTCGGCGTCGTCGGGCGTCGTCGTAGGCGTCGTCGTCGCCGCCGCCGCCGCCTCCGTCTCCGCCTCCGTCTCCGTCGTCGTCGTCGCCGTCGTCGTCGTCGTCGTCGCCGTCGTCGTCGTTGTCGTCGTCGTCGTCGTCGTCGTCGTCGTCGTCGTCGTCGTCGTCGTCGTCGTCGTCGTCGTCGTCGTCGTCGTCGCCGCCGCCGCCGCCGCCGCCGCCGCCGCCGCCGCCGCCGCCGCCGCCGCCGCCGCCGCCAGGGGGGGTCGGGGTATCTGACCCCCCCCGACGGATTCTTCGTGGGGGGGGGTCCAGGCCCCGCAGGTTCCTTTGGGGGTGGTGGTGGGGGGGGGGGGCCTCACCTGCGGCGAGCGAAGGGTCCATCTTTCCAGGGATCCACGCTGAGAGAACGTCGCGACGTCGGAGGTCTGGGGCTCCAGGGAGGGGGGGGGGGTCGTGGCAAGAGTGTGAGGAGCAGGACCGCGATGAAGAGATCGGAGGGACAGGAGGGACGAAATGAACAAACAGAAGGCCTTCTCAGGAGGCGGCGGGGCTTCCCAGAAGCCCTCGCGGCGTCCGAGAGGTTCTCTTCGTCTTCGGGGAAGTCCCGGACAACTTTTCAGTCAGAAGGCGGGGGGGCTTGCGAGACTTCTGAGAAGGCGCGCCCCTGCTCGCTTCCCCGCCGGGCTCGCCGCCGAGCCTAGGCTCTTTGCGGGGGGGGGGGGAGGTTAGGGTCCCTGGTTTCTGGCTTCTCTGTGTCGTATTGGATCAGGCCAGCGACGCTGGGTCGCGCACCCTCTGATGCCCCCCCTTCCTCGCGAGGAGAGCGGGAGAAGCTTGACGGATCCGACATGGAGCAGCAGTTTATCCGTTCCGAGCTCGGGCCGTTCACAAAGGGCATCTCCGAGGAGGGCGAGGGGATGCGCTGCTCTCCTTTCTCCTGCCCCTCTCCCTTCCCCTTTCCTTTTCTTGCGCCCCACGTCCATGACAGTTTTTTTATTTTTCCAAGTCCCATTCCCCTGCCCTGCCGTCTTGCCTTCATTCTCTGTTCCTTCTAGCTTCTCCACCTCTCGCCTCATCCCATTCTGGCTTTGTTCCCTGCTCCCCTTCTCCGACTCCCTTTCTCTTCTCCGCCCCTCACCAATGATCCCGTCCTCATCCTTCCCGTCCACTTTCCCCTTCTCCCCGTGGCCGTTTCTCCCTTACTCCCGCTATGGTTCCCCCGTTCCTTATCATCTTCCCGCATGTTTCCGCTTACAGCTTCCCCCTTCCCATTTCCATTGAGGCCACTTGCCTTTCAGCCGCTCTTACTTTACAGCTGTCTTGGACCTCGCCCATCGTGCGCCCTAGATCCCGATGGGGCGTGCCAAAGAGTGCCCATGCCCAGAGGTGCCTTCGAATATGCCTCAGGACGCGACCAGTACCCCCCCCCGTCCCCCTCCCCTCCGCACTTCCCCACTTCCCCACCCTTCAATGGCCCCTTCCCTTCCCCCTTCCCCCTTTCCCTTCCTTTTCGCCCCCTGGCCCCTCCCCCCTTCTCCGCCCCTGGCACAGACGTAAACTTGTGGGGGTCCGCGCGGACCTCCGGCAGTTTATGCCCATGCAGGTCTACAGTCGGCCGCTGCAGAAGGAACCCTTTTCGTCGGGGAGGGGCTCAATGCTCCTGAATTGCTTTACCGTTTGTCTTAGATTTTTTCCTTCGATTTTCTATGGGAAATCGAAGTTTATTTCATGGAAAACAGGGGCCTCGTTCCTTATTAGAGAGGCCTTACTGTCCGTGCCGCCGACCCTGAACCATGACGACGACGACGACGACGACGACGACGACGGCGACGATCACGACGACGACTCGGGGGCCTCTTTTGGGGGCAGCCTTGGGGCCTCCTGGGGGGGGGGGCTTCTTGGGGGCCTCCTGGGGGAGCCTCGTGTGGGCCCCCCTGGGGGGGCTCCCCTCGGGGAGGCTCCCCTGGAGACGAGGCGGTCCTCTGCGACGGCGCCGCGACCGACCCGCGGTGCCCGAGGCCGCCCTGTGCGCGCCCGGGCCTGCGCCGAGGCTCTCGGCGGCGGGGGCCCACTTTTTCCTCCCCCCCCCTTCGCCTCCTCCTCCTTCTCCTCCTCCTCCTCCCTCCTCCTCCTCATTTTCTCCTCCTCTCTGTCTCCTCCTCTCCTCTCCTCTCCTTCCTCTCACTCCTCTCCTTTTCCTCCTCTACCGTCGCTCTCCTTCTCCTCCTCTTCTATCTCCTCCTTCTTCTTCCCTCACTCTCCTCTCTCCTCCTCTCATCCCTCTCTTCCCTCCTCTCCTCCTCCTCTTCCCTCCTTTCCTCCTTTCCTCACTCCGTGTCCTTTTTTTTTCTCTCTTCTCCTCTTCCCCCTCCTCCTCCCTCCTTCATCTTTCTCCTCCTCTCTCCTAAACTTCCTTGCTGGCTCCTCCTCCTTCTCCTCCTCTTCCTCCTCCTTCTCCTTCTCCCCCTTCGCCTCCGTCGGGGCTCCAGAGGCTCGGAGGCTGATAGACCTCCTACTCGCTCCTCGATCGATCCTCGATTCCCCGATCCTCGATCATCGATTCCCGATCCTCGATCCTCTCGGCCGGTCCTCGATGCTCCGGTCCTCGACCATGGGCCCCAGGCCCCTTCCCCTCCAGGACCCGTGCCTTTGGTTTGAAGAAGAAGCCGAGACAGAGACTTGGAGATTGTAGACCTCCGACCCTGACGCGTCGATTGGCGAATTGGCCGTTTTCGGTTCGCGAGAGGGCGTCGCGGCCGTCGTTTTTGCGGGTCCAGGTCCGTCGGTTTCTGTCCTGGGCCGTTTTCGCTGAAGGGAGGTTTGCTGAAGGGAGGTTTGTCCACCCCCGAGAGACGGGGATTAGTGCACGACTGTCCATGACTTCCTGTTGCCACGGCTCGCCCCTCCGTGGCAAAGCGTCGGAGGCTCGGGTGCTCCCAGCTTCCGCGGCGGGGGTCGATACATAACCGATACCCGGGGGGCTCAGGAGGCGGGGGCCAATGGCTTTGCTGTGGAAAGCGTGACGTTCCCACGCCAAAGATCAGCGGACGTCCTGGGGTCTCAGGGTTGGGCTTTTGCGGAAGGTTTCTTGTGGTCGAGCTCCTTTTGTATCCGCGACCTCCGGTTGCCAAGGCTCGCCCCTCCGTGGCAAAATGCCCGCGCGTCGCATGGGGCGATTGCAACAGGCATCCCGACGTCGGAGATTCGGGTCCTCCCGAGTTCCGAGGCGGGTGTTTTGCTACATAACCGACCCTTGAGGGCTCAAGAGACGGGGATCAAGGCACGACTGTCCACGACCTCCTTTTGCATCAGCTCGCCCCTCCGTGGCAAAACGTCGGAGATTTAGGTCCTCCCAGCTTCCAAGGCGACGGCGACGGCAACGACGACGACGATGACGACGACGACGACG